TTGCAGCACCTTGTAAGTGTACCTATTTAGGGCCGATTTCAATTTCGACTGATTTTATCGCGGACTGTCGTCCCTCATGCAACTCCTTCTCTCTCATCTCGTATTTCCGCATGTCAAGATTTGCGAATCCTGCTAATGAAATTTACCAACCTTGATCTTCGTGTACGTAAACGGGCGCTCATGTTACCAGACAGCTAAAGTATGTTGCTTCATCCAGTTTACGTAACGTAATATTTGCTAAAGTCCATATAGTTACTTTGGTACATGACATTTTCACGTTGTTCTCGTCAACTTCGTTGTATAGTTTCGAAAGAAATTTCTTCAAGGTAGCGTTTGGTTTGTGGACTACTGCAACCTTTTTTCGTTCCACCAGCCTCGCTGTTAATTTAGCCATATCCTTGATGTATGGCAAGACGATGCGTTTACTCGTTTGTTTAAATTACCGTTCGGGTACCTTTTTCTTCAAGTTACTCTTAATACATTACTTCTTTTAACCATTACCTCGTACTTTGAAGACTATCCAGAATCACAGAACTCAATATCCGCCTAACGGGGTCGCAATAAATGAGTACTCGTCCACGAAGGGTCAAATTGTTGATCACACTTGCAACAAATAACCCGACCTGATCCTAGATTCTAAACTGCATCAACAAAGCAGAGCCGGTAATAACCACCTGATGGGACTAGAACTAAGAATGTCCAACCACGTTTACAGAATCTCGATGGGCCGCTTTCCACGACACAATGGATATCGTCGGGTTCCGGAGTCAACCAGAAGCTGAGCGGAATCATAGAAACCTACATTTGTAAATAAATGTCCCGTCGCTTTGCCCTAACTTGTCCTGTTCTCATGTATTAAACCTGGAAACCGGTCTTGTTGATTGTCACCTTGTGTACGACTCCCTATTTCCTCTGCTTTCAGATGGACGATAATAACGACTTGCTGGAAAATGCCTCCTAACAGCAGACCAAGCAGTAAACAGCTGATCAACGACCTTGAGGGTTTTCAACAAGCTGTCAATAACTACCTCTGATTTAATTTTCTGTCGCTTCTTTCTCAAGTTTTTTGTACTACAGTTTGAATTAAAATGCACCTTCCCCAAATACAACGGTGCTACCAAAGTCGGCTACGTGTACGGCTATATTGTGCACTGAAAACAACACCTTCTTGAACAAAATGCCGAAAAAAAGAGTACAGTGGGTACCAAAGCACAATACTGGTAACTGATGAACAAAGTTGGATTCGTCAGACAGGAAAAAGTACTTTTGAGACTGATTTTATGATGTGGCTATCGTACAATCATATTTACAGATACCGAAATTCCGATGTTTTTATATCGGCTACTTTGAGAAAATCCACGCAGTCTTGAGCCGCAGAACACATACATACACATATGGTTATGCTGCTTATAGCATAACCATATTTCCTCGTTAAGTCACGCCACCATGACGGCACCGACATGAGAGCCCAGTTCGAAATGTGTTACGATCATTTTCACATAGCGACTATCTGCATACGTGGCTATCAGGGTCAGCTCAGCAGCAAAAGTCCCAAGCTGCCTTCGGAGGTATGATACTCCTGTTAAACCATTGTGATAATACAGTCCGGACTTTTGTACTTGTGTTTTCGTGACAACTCTACAAAATTTAGCATTACACATGTACTACAAGTTTCATCACGACGTGCTGCATGGTTTACGTGTTGAGGAGAGGAACTACCCGACCGAGCGCGCACTGGTGTCTGGTCGAATGGTGAAGGGACTTTGCAACCTAATTTCTAAGATCAGTGAACAGATATACAAAGAACGCATCTTCGGTTCGAAGATCCAAATACGGGTTTGGTTCGCAGTGGATCTACTTGTCCCTTTTCATGCGTTGTTCGGATGTTTCACAGCTAACTGCCGAACTGTTTATTTTACCGAATCATGTTGGATTACTGACGAACAAGTCATAACCTTAAGTTCACGCCACCGGTTCATCACCGAATAAACCGGATAAATTTCGGAAGATTGGACGACACAACCCTACCCTCGATGAAGATGTAATAGGAAAGTAAGTGCCACACAGGGGGGGAAATGTTCAGAAAAATGCGGCAAAAAGATAAACACGGCTTTTTTATTTCTGAAATCCTTCCATCTGTGAAACTTGCGACTCGGACACCTCTAGCATTCAGATATCCTTACTTAAGCAACACTTGGACCTCTGGAAATTGCTCATACATTATTTACCATCTGTTCGCCTCTCAACTTCCCCTGTCTAGGCTTGGACAACCTGACAGTATCTTAGCTCTCGTGCCTACTTAGGGTGGCATGGCAGCTAGGCACCAAAAAGGGGCTACAGCTGAATGATTATTATTTTATTACTGATGTTTTGATGTCAACGACGACTATGACAGTTTTAACAGAGCAATCAAATAAATTGTCTCCAGAGGTAGTCGTACAGCCTAATTCCTCCCTTTCGATGGCACAGTTAGAGCAACGGTCTGTCCTTCAAAGCAACTATAACAATCAATTTACCAACTGTTATGTTGTGATAAGCTCGATCAAGTCAGAATGTCAATATGAAATATGGTAGTTAAGTCTGTTTTTATTCCTAAAACATTTTCATATTCAAAACTGAAAGATTGGTCTTGGTAGCACACAGAGAGGAATGATAGCGCCACCATGTGAGAGGATAGTGATGTTTTTCTCAACAGTTCAGATGGCATACTCCAAAAAGACCATTTTACGTCTAGGTATCTGCGCTCGAGCCCGGGCTCTATTCAGTTGTGTGGAGAACTTAGTGGACACATGCACATATGCCGTTTGAGCTCTTTATGTGCTTCTATGATCAACTTTATCAGGGAATCTGATCAAGTTCGACCAGCCAGAAACAGATGGTATACTTTCCTTCGGAATCTTGGTAGTAAGCCATAAACACCTAAAAGCGATGGCACAAGTCTCCACTACTGAATCGGACGACGATGGCTGCAACCGATTGGTTCTAGTTTTGTCCGCTGAACTTTGTCCCATGCTCCAGGACTGGTGTTGCTACAAAAACGTAGCCTCAAAAAAATACATATATCAAAAACCTTTGTATCGCTGGATTCCTCTCACTTCCCTCCATATTTTACCACTATAGGCATACAACAAAGAAAAACAGTAAATCAGGAAATTATGGTCGAAAGATTCGGTCCACAACCATCTCTAGTCAAGGCTGACAATCCGTGCTCTAAGTCGACCAACTAGTGCAATCTTGTATCGAGATTTTAAATTGCTAATCCGAGAGTACGCAAAAATGGCACTTCCTGTTTGATGCCTTCAGTGTAGGTGCTGTAATGTTTTGCAATCAGAAACGACCGCAGTTAGTCGTATTGGTACTTTTTACGGAACGTTGTTAAACCTTTAGAAAGAATAATCTAGGAAGAAAATCTGTACACATGCTACAAACACTTCAGAATGCATAGGTAGGGGGTATTTCTGAGCCAGACAGAATGTTTTCATAGACCTCAGTATTTGGACATAACCTGTGAGTGGATGGATTGCCTATTAACTTGGTTGTACATGACTTTCAAGATCTTGTGCACTTTGGCCATTCTAGACAGTGCACTTTTACACTAAAGGTGAGTTTGACACATACTTGTCAAATACAACCACAATACACGACCCATTGTACACGCTGTCGACATTCCGGCTTAACAGAATGGGCAGTTTGTCGCCACCTGGAGCGGTACGCACGACAAGAGAGAACTAGTATGACGGACTATTGGAAATTGGGAAAAGAAAATAACACAAGAGAACGAACGTTAATGTTTTCGAAATCTCGTCGTCAGGTCAGTGAGTGTCTGACGAAGGTGATCTGACTAAGATGTAAGCGATTTTGTGTTCTTGATAACACTAGGGGGTATTCAGCCAATACGGAAGTTCTCTTATATTTGAATGTAGACAGCGTCGGTTCGAATTGGACTGAACACGGAGTTCAACCGAGCAGCTTCGGACAGTGTTTGTTAACTAGAACACTAGAACAACATAGTCCAATCTCGACGGCAGAGCTCACCAGACTTTCTAGATTTTGGAGCTCAATTAAAACAAGTGCCTGGAGGGTCACTTAGGGTGGTCACCCTCGAGAATACATAGGCGGCAGGGCAGAACTTCACTCTTCTATGCTTCATTTTGGTTTCGCTAAACGATGAGAAATTTGAAATGAAAAAGCGTAATTCGTTGAGATGACGATAAAAGTAGGCTGGAAGATCGATCGAGGCATGCGATGCAACAGCTTCAGTGTATCCCAAGGATCATCACTCAAGCCTCCAAGCCTGCGTTGAAGTCACAGGAAAAAACAGTGAACTGGTTAGTTGAAATACATGATCAAATATCGGTTACAGAACATGTAACTAACTTCATCCCCTGAGGACTTTTCTGGAGTGCTTGTTGTTTTACAATTGCATCAGGACAGGAAACCACATATTTAGGGTGCACGAGCAAGAGTAGTTTTGAAATGCGACAGGAACAGTCTTGTCAGCTTTAGAGCCCACCTTTACGACTAGGAAGAGTAGTAGAGCGCTTGAGCTCATGTCTTGGCTTAGTCCGTGCGTTGAAATTTCCCTGAAATGACTACCTGAGTAGTCAAGTACCACTGCCAACATTTTCACAAACCTGATGATTACCAAGATAGTAAGGTTACATGCGAAGATGTCAAATACGAAGCGGAATGCGTTTTTCAGGACTAACTCGACTCTGATTCGAAAAAACGAAAGCACTCCTGGAAAAAGCCTAAACATTCCACTGAAAAATTCTTCTCTTTGTGTTGCTAAGGTTGATCCTCGGAGAAGATTACTTTTCTAACTTCCTCTCCCCTGTAAATTTCAGATTCAAGTGTTCCTGGATTTGGGTTCACTGTATTTCTTTTTCTGGGTTCCTTATGTCATATAATCTGCTTGCTAGGCGTATCAACAAGTCATTTCCAGTGGCTAAGAATCCAATCCGCCGATGAGTAAAAAGGCATCACTCATCTATGAAGCACTGATTTATATTCACATGACCAAAATGAACGGCACAGTCTACCTCAATCCCCTCGTTTCCGCCTGCCCTTTTTCCGTTTTGGCTCACTGTCCACTTCCTCGTCATCGACAGGTTCCAATTGGTTCCAGAGCTCATCAAACTCCTCCTCGCTTTCGCTTGCTTCTTCCGCATTCGCATCGCCTTTTCCATCCGCTTCCGCTTTCTCTACTGTCTGTCCAGATAGCCGTTCCACAGCACTAAAGTCAGCACTATCACTGATTAGGAATGAAGTGATTGGGAGCTTGGCATACAGCTGAAAAGGAAAGAAAACAGTGGTCGTACCTGAAACCAACTCGGTTGCAATTGTTATTAGGGGAATCGTGGGAGCCGGTGTTTACAGACCCACAAGGTATTAAACAGCCACACGACGCATTTAGAGAAAAAGTGATGCGTAAGAGATGTGTTGACTAGCGTTGCCGATAGGGACGTTTTTCGGGAAAAGAAACGAGTAGATGATGGCTTAGAGCAACGTTCCACAAAATAACACTACTTATATAAAAGGAACGGATTAGTTGTGACGGAACTAACAATCCGTGAATTCCGCCAAATACTCTCATTTACACATTAACTTGGTTTCTATGAGAGATTCAAATGAATCCAGGTGAATCTCTCGTTTATAAGCTGAATCCCGTCCAATTTGGGTTCAGGTAGAACATACGGTTGACAAAGACTCGGAGAAGGCGTTTATCTGGTGAGCTCCAAGAAAAGCGAAAGCGGCCGTGGGTTGTCGAAGAGTTTTCAACCACCTCATGAGTAGTCTGTTAGAGTATATAGTGTATTGCGACATCTCGAATATCGTACCAACTGAAAGATGAGGTGGCTTGGTGCAGCACATTCAGTTGAAGAAAACTTTGAACGAGGTATTCAGCTGGATTTCAGTTGAGTCTTGTGAAAACCAAATGGGTATGCAAGTGAGTGTTTTTGTCGAAAAACAAGCCCTTATTAAGTTCAAGGTATCTGTCCCACATTGAGGCTTTCAACGTCCATACTCTGTATAAAATTGGCCAACAAGTAGCCCGGACCTTGTCCTCTCTTTCGATCGATGCATGTTGCGTCTCCGAAACACGTGTATAAGACCCACCTCGATCACTCATCCCGAACCCAGGTTTCCCGCACTTTACTCTTCGGGTGTCTAGTAACCCTGATTCAAAGACTCGTGGTATCTAAGGCGTGAATGTTGTGCTTAGCTCCACGGCTGAATGCACCTTACTTGACTGGACTCTAGTAAACAGTTGTTTTTGCACTGTTAAGTTGACAGATCGATTGGTACAATCAAGGTCGATGCATCTCGACGTGGCAAAAGGTGTTTGTTTGTTGTCATTATAAGTTCCGGCAGACTGCAGCTCTGAGGCTGAAAAGAGCAGCTTCTAGCTTGATTTGTTACATTTATTCCGGTCATCATTCTGACAGGTGATACAAATGTTTGGGTTGAGCGACCAAGTCCTGGTGAGGTCCATCTTTGCGGCCGATTCGAGTTTGACGCTCGCTGCACAGACAAATGACTAAGGTTTACAAAGACGGATACGCGTTGTGAGCAGCATTACCGAAATCCGTGAAAATTGAAGGCGATTATGAAGTACATAACAAATAAACATCCCACTCCTGCAAGCCATATAGAGGAACTGATCAATATACTTCACTTGGAGCCTACAAGGCAAGTGTGGGCATGCGAATTGTACTCAGTTTTTCCTCTGTCTGACCGGTACTTTCTATTCATGTGGAACACTTACGGTTGTTTGAAAAAAAGTAATCCGTGAATTAATACAAGCCTAAAATCGATTTTCAAAAAACAGTTTGAACATATTGAAATTAATCAACCAACCTTTGCAAGTCGATCACCCGTATCACGATTATATATCCGTAAATAGCGATCCAGAGATGAAGCTATTAAGAGTGGCTGCGAGTCGAATAAGGCTGTTGAGCTGGTGGCAGGAGAATTCGCAGAACCAGCTCCCCCACAAGCCAGCCCAGTGATGCTTCCAGATGCACCAGGAAGAGTACGCACGCCAACAGGAGGCTCCGGAGCGCGAGCACCGCGACTCTTAATCTGACCAGGGTAAAGTGGGGCTTCATCATCGTCACCATCCGCCACCATGATAGATTCCTTGGGAAGACGCAAATCCAGGAAACACAAGTCTCCTATCGCATTACCGGCAACTATTCGGACACCAATTCCTGGAGCTTCAGTGAACGCCAATCCACGAGTAATCGGCCTGGTAACAGCCAAATCAGGGAGAATGGCTCCATGTGAGCAAGTTCCAACTTTTACTTTCCCGTACTTCCGGCTCATCCTCCATGCATGGCGGGAAACCGGTCGTCTTTGGCCACAGCGAATATCGTAAAGGCATATCTTCGGACAAGACAAGGGTGAAAAAGCAGTCAACCTACAATCATTCAATTGGCTCGACAAATTTGATCAAAAATGCGTCTACTACCATTATTATCATCATTACCATGGAAAACTAGCCTCGCTGGTACTGTTCTGGGGGACGAAGAAAATATGAATGACAAACAAAAGAATGAAGGGGCTGAGACAGTATAAAGGGGGGCATCCAATGAAAACAGGTACATGGAAGTGCTCACAGATGAGGAAACTTTATCAGCCCACCGGGATATGATTCGCTCTGCGAAGTATCTGCCTTTTCAAAAACCCAAACGGAACCAAAACGTCGAAACTTATCACTTAGTAGTGTCAACGGCATGAAGTAGATAACTAAAGCTGGACCCACGTGACTCTAAAACAACTTTGACAGGTGAAAAAAAGTAGCCATTGGACACAATAGAACTCCAGCATCGTATGGCAGAAATTACACAAATTGGGCAGGGAAAGCGCAGTAAACGGGGTATCCCCTGGAAGAACTGTCCTACTTTGAAAACTAATACCTCAGAATGAAGGGATAATGCGTCAGACTCGGGTAGCAACAAAGCACGGCTCAGCATGTGATTGTAGTTCAGAAACGGCCTCAACATAACTAGAGAATTTCCACATCTGCATAAGTTCACTCAGATTCCACTTAATTAGGCGCCTTTGTTACACTGAAAACGTGCAACCAGATTGGACGTAAATACGTAAATTAAAAGTTGGCATCGAACGGTGCATGTTACCAACACACTGTTGACAGAAATTCTCGGGGAATCTGGCAATTTCGATCACGGGAACAAGAGTTAAAACGTATGATATGCATGTTCGCTAAGCGCACATGCCTTTCTCATCTTTGGGTGCAGATTCAATTCAGGGCCAGGACGGTTGGAAAAACTTCGTAATCACGTTGTTCTCATAAGCACAGCCCAAACTGGTCCGAGAGCACTACCAGGAAATTACAAAACCAAGTGATTCCACAGAAAAACAAAAGTATGCAGTCCAGCTGTAATCCCTTGGATTGCAAACTTGCCGTGCAATCTAGGGGAAGTGCCGGGGCTGAGATACTGCCAGGTTGCCCAAATCTAGACAGGAGTGGTCAGGATACCGGGGTTGGGTTTGAACCAAGGGCTTTTTGGTCAGCAAGTTCGCGCGTTAACCACTGAGCTGTCTCAGGCTGAACGACGGGATTAATACAAGCTCAATAACCAAGCATCTCGCTATCTAGGAAACTATGTGCTTTTTTAATTAATTTTCTAAAACAACGAATACGACATGTAGTGGTATAGCGTCAATGAGTGAAGTCGGTCAATCGACAGAACAGTCTTACTCATTCAGATTGACAGACTAATCACAACCATGCGTGGATGCCCGAAAACATCATAAGGGCTCCGGACGACGGAACATCTGTGCATCGTGCACCAGGACATTTGAAGTGTTATCCCTGTAACTTTTCGAAAAGAGTTGAGCTGTCACCAAATAATTAGGATAAGTATCTACACGTTGCTGAGTGGTTCCACGAGATGAATATACGAGAATCAACAATGACCATCAGTAGTAGATCGGAACCTCATCTGAGTGGCAAAACATGGGGTTAATATTAGCTGGAAAGTGGTACATCGTAGAAAGATAATCAAGCAATGAGAAATGCGGTCAGGCGAAGTGGAAGCAGACAGTCTAGCATCTGATCGATTTCGGTACTTGTACGATGAAATGGATAATGCCTAATGAGGGTTCCGGCCCAAATTATCATGTCTAGAAGGTTTTAAACAGATTTGCGTAATTTTGTCTGTCGTTAGTGAAAACTACTTGACAATCTAGAGACTTATGAGACTTATCAGCACTTTCCTTAGGTGAACGTTACAAATTAAACAGAACCAGGCATGTCGCTAATGCATGTGGAGTTATATTCTGTCCGTGTATAGACAGTTCAATTCAGTGCCTTTCAACCACCCCGCCATTGCAAGTACCTCATCGTTTTGAATGATCTGGCCGCCGCGCTCTCATACGGACATAAATAGACATTTGCCCCAAAGGCATCATGCATAGGAAACCCGTAATAGCAGTAGCCTTCTGCGACAATCTGTACACGAACCTAATCGGACAGCCATGACCAATAGTGAGCTAGCTAAA